GAGGAGGCGGGGGGGGGGATGGGGACGTGTGGCCCTGTGGGTGCCAGGGGAACCATCCCCCACTCTGCTCAAGAAGGTGATTCAGAAATCTTAACTCTTCTGCATTTTGAGGGAGGGCGGGGACCGTGGTTTAACTGGGAGGGGAGCACCCCCATTTCACCCACTGCACAGAGGCGGAAGCAAACCTGTTTGATGGCGCTCCCCAAGTGCCGCAGCTGCTCCTGGATGGTCTGCAGTTCTTTCTTCATGTCCTTCTCGCTGTCCGACAGGACAGGCAGCTGAGCGTGGAAGCTGCGCAGGACCCTCTTCATCCTTGAGGCACAGAAAGATCATCATCAACCTTCTGAAGAGGCTGCTGAAGGGGGTGGGGGCTTCTGCATGCCGTCTAGAAACCTCCCCTGCGGGTTCTCCAGCCTCCTCGGGGGAACGGCGCATCCTTACCTATTCACAATGTCGTCCTGTTTCTCTTTGGCTTCCTCGTACTTGTCGGCCAAGCGCTCGGCCAGCTCCCGTAAGCTTTTCCTTTGGGTAAAGAAAATATTGGGGGACCGTGTTGCTGCGCATTTGCTCGCTGGATGTCAGGTTACAAAGAGGGGAGCGGATGTGCTTGCTAGAAAAGGCCTCTGCCCTTCTCTGCCTGCCTCTCCGAGAAGCAGCCGCCGCCACAGCAGCACCCCTGCCACCCTGTTCCCTGGGAGCAGCTGCCCGAAGGAGAGACGCCAAAGAGGAGCCCTGTTCCCATTCAGTCACGTCTTCCTAAAACTCAGTCTTGGACGTCAGCAGCTGCTGCTGGAAAAGGCACCCAGAGAGCTTCTGTTTCTCAAGAGGAGGCCAACGGGCCATCCGGGCATTCCAGAGCAGCCCAGTTCAAGGTGGTGACACGCTCCTCCCAGGCGACACAGCAGAAGGAGAGAGGCCAGAAGAGGGGGGGGCTCGCCTCCGTTGCTTCTGCTCACGGATCTGCTTCTCCTTGGCCTGCCTTCCAACTCCCCTCGATGCCCAGGTGGGCAAAGGGGGTCTCCCAGCACATTGCTGGGGTCTAGCAAGACCTTAAAAGAGCTACACGGACCACCCTGGGCCTCAAGGCCACACTGGGGCTCCATCCCTTGAGGAACTGGGGGGGGGGCAGGCTTTTCTGACCCTCTCCCGCCTTCTTTCGTTTCCCCTGAATGGGTCGGGTCTCCTGGATGTCAAGGCTGGTGGCTAAGAAGCCTTGGTCTGTAACTCGTTCTGGAAAGAAGGTGAAACGGCTGGGGGTGGGGGGTGTCAGGAGAAGAGCAAGAGGGCCCCGCGTACCTTTCTTCCCGACAGTAGCCAAGGTCTTCCAGCTGCTTCTTTTTCTGCTCTCGCAGGAGCTTCACTCTGAGGAGCCGAGGGGAGAAAATGGCAATCAAACACCAACGTTTTAAGAGTGCAAACAAAGCCACCCAGTGGTAACCCCCACCCCCTCCGCTTCCTCCCCCTCAATTGATTCTTGATTCTTGCCCAGAATGACAAATAGGGAAGGAAAACAAACCTTCCGCAACTCAGACTCGCACACAGAACAGCGACAAGCCAGAGAAACGGTGGTTCTGCCCCAGAGGCAGGGGGACAGGTAACGAACAGGGTGAATGCCCTGGGTGGGGGTGAAGACTAGGACCATTTTCATTTGAATTATTTTAAAAATGGGTTTTAATAGAAAAGGGGGGGGTTAACTGTGCCCTCTAGTGGCCATGAAAAAGAATTTTCTTCTAAAAATCATCATCATCCATAATAATAGAAGGGTATGCGGGGGTACCATAAAGATGGCCGCACACGGAGACCACCTGTGCTACAAACCCTGAGTTCCAATCTGCCCTTCTGAGCCCACCTTGTCTGCCCCCCCCCAAACACACACACAATATCAAAATCTGGTAGCTTTCCCCGGCTTTTGTCCCAATCTGAGAGTTGAAATCTCTCCTAAGCCTTACTCATAACAAGGTCTTTTAAGATAAAAACCGGCAGATATTTTTAGCCCTGGCCTTTTGACTGTGCCTCTCCCCCCCCGCAACCACCGCCACTGGAGTTTGGGACCCAATAAATTATCTGAAATGAACTGGATCCTTGGGCTAAAAGAGATTTGTTCCCCTTGGCTTAAGGAAGGTGAACCGTGAGCGAGACGAGGCCTTCCCTCCACTCAAGACTGCTCCTTTCCACCAGCCCTTCGATAAAACAAATTAGGGAGATGTACTTTGGAAGGGGGGAAAAAGCCAAATATTCCAAAGGGTCCTGAATTCTACTTGCTAGAGATGCTTGTCGGCGTTGGTTTCTGGTGAATTCAGCCAACCCGTTCACTTCTCCAGAGATCTGACCGGGTGAAGTGTCGCTGGAACAGAAAGGCGCCAAGCAGGGCGACCGGTTTCAAAAGCCAGTCATACCTTCGCTGGATTTCTTCTCGGGCCAGATCCTGTTTCAGAATGTATTCTTCCCTGAATACCTGGGTGGCTCTGCTGAGGAGCTGAAGGCATTCTTCCGGGGGAGGAGAAGAGTCTCTGTCGGCGGCTCTGAAAAGACCAACACGGACAGCTGTCTTGGTGTACGGAGTGGCCCCCTCCCTGATCAGAGCCACCACGCACGGCAAGCAGAGGGTAGGGGTGGGTGGGTGGTCCATGAGATGCTTTCAAAGGTTGTTTTGGTGATCCCAAAGCATGTGCGCATACAACCCATGCTCCATTTGCTGCTGCCGCCACCAGCCCAGTCGGAACCCCAGAGTGGTATCCCACAGATCTCACACTTGAGGAAGCCCCGAGAGCCACCGCTAAGAGGAGATGGGGCGTGGAGGAGTTTGGATCACAGAGAAGGGGAGAAACGGCCCACGGTGGCCGTGCTGCATCCTAAAGATGACCGGGAGGTGAGCCACGGACTGGCAGGAGGCCTGTCAAAAGAGCCGCCTGAGGTCTTCCCTGGGCTGGATCACATGAATCCAGTCCCTGGAGGTGGGCAGGATCTGTACGGAACGAGGGGTCAATGCCTTTACGAAATCCCTCCACCCTTAACAAGAGATGCTGAGCTGGTGTTAGCTCAGTGAGTGGGAGCAGTTGGCCACAGGGCCTGAGGGTCAGGGACTCTTCCCCTCCCAAGAGAGGGATTGGCTCAGGCATGGCCAAGAGGGTTAAGCGCCTGCCCCACCCATCCACCCACCCCTCGGGCAGCCTGCATGGTGCTCCCCAAGGGCCACCGTCTGGCACTTTTCTACCTAGAAAAAATCATGAAGGGTGCCCACGAGCCCGAAGGGGGCCTTGTTGTGGCCCGGGAGGGTAGTTGCTACTACAGAGAGAGAGGTCGTACTTCAGCAGCAGAGGGTTGGCAGAGCTTCGGGACAGGATGCTCCGGATCCGTCTCTCGAAGGAGTCCTGCGATTCAGCCAGGAGGCGGAGAGGCGAGGCCGTCGCCACGGAGTCCTCTTTCGTGCACAAGAGCGGAGGGCAGGGCGGGTGGACGGCGGGACTGCCAAAACACAAAGGTCAGGAGTCTCTCCAAAAGCCACCCTCTCTCGACTCTGTCCTCTCCTGCCTGTTGCTTTATTTAAAAAATCGGCACCTCTTGGCTTTCTCTATATCACCGTATACCCGTTAAAGCTGACAGTAAGAGACCAAAGAAACCGGAAATTCTTCTTTTCTCCCTCTGCCCTCCCCCGGTCAGCTTTCTGCAAGACACAATGGCAAGGCGCACTAAAAGCAGGTGCAATGTGAGATGAGAAACTTCACAAAAAGATTACTGCAATGGAGGGATTTATCACACGATTTATCACCCATTACTAGAAGAACAGGCTTAAGTTATTCATCCCGTGCCGTCCAGGAGCTGTAGGAGAATTAGCTGGAAAAAGTGGGACTCCCCAGCAGCTCTTCCAAGGGAAAGTGATGTGTTTCTAGGACACACTCTCTCTCCCAGCCCCCCCCCCCAAAAAAACCTGTTCCTCTGATTTCTGTAGGTACAAAACTAGAAAATGCTACAGTTTACAACTGAAGCTTAGTTGGAGACACGGCAGGGAACTATGATTAAGGAAGTTCACAAGCTGAGTCCAGAGACTGGAAAGCCTTAAGTACCATTGGCAGAAACAGCTGGCTTCATGAACTGAGGTTTGAAGTTGGCTTGTTCCAAGGAACCGCAGGTGCAGTCTGTTTCATTTTAGATGTCACAACAAACCACGGTTCACCAAAAAGTGGAATGAAAACTTTTGATCTCCTCCTGGCAGTTGCAGCCAAGGAGATGAGGGGAGAGGACGGAAGCCAAGCCCTCCGGGAACAATCACCCCACTTTATGGCTGTATTCAGCTATAAAGGTCCTGCGTCTTTAAGACCGAAGAGCCTACCATAAGGCAGAGAAAGTCTATGCCGCAAGACTTTTGAGGCCGTTTGTGGGCCTACCATAAGGCAGAGAAAGTCTATGCCACATGACTTTTGAGGCCCCGTTCGTGACATAGAAGTGGAAAACAGAGAAATGGCTTATTCCATAGGGCCCAATCCACTGGAAAATTCTGCAAGAGCCCAAGTGAAATGAAAAGGAGCTGCAAAGGGGGTGTCACAGTATGTAGGTCTCTATGCTAACTAGCATAAGGGAGGATTGTGGGTTTTCTGCTTGAGGAACCCAAAGAAGCAGTGTTTGCTACTTTGGTAGGTTCTATTAAGAACCAAGCATTCAATGCTGCCTTCTTTAATCTGTTTGGGCCCCCAACAGAGGAAAGGACACCTCTGAACCCCAGCAAGGCCCGGACACAGCCGCTGCCTGGGAGCTGCAAGACAACATCCTCCTTAGACCAACCCCTTCCACCTGCCGGAGACCGGCAGGCCAGAGAAAAAGCAATGCCTGAAGGCAGACGGGAGTGACGGGATACCTACAGAAGAGGCTTGGTGACACATTCGTAGTTCTCCGTGATGCAGATCATTGTGGGACCCAGGATGTCCGAGACAATCGAAAACCCTCTGATGGACGCAGGCTGCCTGGAAGGAAAACGACGACAACCATTTCCATCGATTCGAGCAGGGCTGCTTGGGCAGGGCTGAGGGCAAAAGAGCCTCCCTGTCGGCCAACCCAGAAACCAAGGGTATCCTGAAAATTCAGGTGAGCAAATCTTTCACCAGCCCCTGACAGGTCATCGCTTCCCTGGCCCTCCTCTTCTTGCTGACGGCATCCAGGCCAGGCAAGGGCATTCCACAGGCACAACCGTGTCGCCTCCCCAGCCCAAAGCAAGGCTCCTCTCTCTCATGCTCCACTTTCCCATCGGAGGCACCGGGAGGCTCAAGAGGACCAGTGGCTAGCTTCCAATGGGCCTCCTCCTCACGAGTGCCCCTCCTGACTGGGGACCTCTGCCAAAACTTAAGGGTGTGTGTGTGCGCGCGGTGCAATGTTGTGCAAAATATGGAGTTGGGGAGACGTGGAACAGTTGAGGAACTGAACAGTTTCCATGCCTGTATCTAAAGAATTATTTTTTTGGCAGGGGGAGGTAATCTTTTCTAAAAAAATGTTGTAACTCCTGCCTGGGGGTGATGGGAGTTGTACCCATCAACTCCTAAGGATTCTCTCTCTCTCTCTCTCTCTCTTTGTGTGTGTGTGTGTGTGTGTGTGTGTGTGTACGCGCCTATGAAAGCGATCCATCTAAGATGTTTAGAGAGAGCTACCGAATGAAAAACACTGAGGCCCAGCTTCCCAGGAAGGAGAGGCAGGCCTGGGGAGGACCCGGGGGGGGCAGGGGGAGGGAGGCTCACCTGCAGGGCAAAGGCTTGGTGCAAAGGAGGTGCTCCGCAAAGCACTTCTGCTCTGCTCCCAGTTCTTGCAAGCTGTCTTTGTCTTCCTCGTCTGAGCAAGAGAGAAAACTGTTATGGGCCAGCAGTACAGGCCAGGTCACTGGGTGGCCACAGCGCCAGGTCTGAGGGGCAGGACTCGGGGGGGGGCTCTTCCTCTCTGTTGGCATTCCCCCAGGTGGAATCTCAGAGGGGCCACCTTCTTCTTTTCTCTCCCCCTCCTCCACAGGGGCAGAACGGACCTCCCTCGTCTGAGAGCTGAACCGATCTCTTGGAATGGAGGCCGAACGCCCCAGCCGCTCATCCCTGCCATCAAGGTTCGGGGTTCCACACGTTCCTGACCCCAGCTTAAGCACCACACACTCAACACAGCAAGCAGGCCTTTGGCTGTGCGTGCAAAGGCAGGCAGGCAGGCACGCCACACCGTCCGCAGTGCAACAAGACCACCGAGGGGCAGCTGGCATCCTTTCCAGCAGGAGACAGGGCGGGTGATTTGAACTGGCAGAGCACCAGAACTGCAGGCGGAAGGAAAACTCGGTGGCCCACCAGTCCTTGGGAGGCCACTCGGCCCCGCCATCTGGGGGCAGCTGGTTCAGGGCCGCCCAAGCCCGCAAAGGCTCCTCCTTGCAGCACAAAGCAGCCCCTGTCAGCACGCACACCCCTAACCCCCTCGATCGTTATGGCCGCAAAGGGGAAGGACATGCACCACGTCCCTCCCTTCCTCGCCGGGTCTCATGAGCCACCCCTCTTGTTCACTTTCCAAAGAGAGGAAACTAGGGTGAGGCGAGACAGGGAGACGCCACCCCACCAGGTGAGCCAAGAGACAAAGCGTCGCCAAGGTTTGGGGGCCTGAAACGTACGTGCAAGTACCTGGGGCCGACCAGATCAAGACCCCATCCCTATGGAGAAACCACGGTTGCGTCCTGAGGGCCATCTCACCGCTTCCCCTCACAGGGTCCCCTCCCCTGCCCCACCTTCTTATTTCGAAGTATGGCAGTTGCTGCTTGGAAGCAACCTGATTTCCAAGGTTCAAAGACTGCAACAAAGCGAGTCGGTGCCAGCCTTCATTCCCAAATGGTCTATCCATATACAACAGCACCCCTGTATCCACAGGATCAGTATCCACGGTTTCACTTATCCACAGTCTTAATCATATTACAAGTATTAAAAGGGAAAACCCAGAAATACATCTTTCCATAGTGTAATTACTAGAACCAGTCGCTAAAGGAAACCAGGGGTAATGCTCTATATAGGGTTCCTTGTTATCTGCAGGTGTTTGGGATCCATGGGGGTTTGGAGCCGATTCCTTGTGGATCCTGTGGTCCTACCGTACATGTCAAGTCGAAGGCAGTTGGGATCTGCAGAAACCAAGTGGGTCTTCAGGAGAACAAAACACAAAGCTGGAAGGCATCCTTACTCACCAGAGCCAAGAAACTTGTGCAGTTTGTTGATCCAAGGGAGGCCGATGCTATGCACTCCAGCGTCGTGGGTGCAGTGGTACCGGGAAGGGCATCTGGGGTCTGAAAGCACAAGCCCACCAAGGCATGAGGGTGCTTCTAAGTGGCTCAGTCATATCGCTGGCAAGGCAGGGGACACTCACAACTCTCAGGCTCCCCAAATGCCCCCAAGACTTTTCTCTTGCCCTGATCAGAACGGCCAAATTCGCTTTGGAAAGGAGGAGAGCAACGATTTGGGCAACCGCCTGGCAACGCAGGGCTCCGGGGGCTGCAAAGAAGCAAGCAATGTGCCGCATCTGCCAGCTGAGGTTACCCGGTGGCACGCCACCACTTGCAACCAGATAGCCAGGCGGCTTGGTACTTGTTGCTACTTCCTCACATTGACCCCAAAGCAGCTTTAACTGGAGGCGGAAGAGAAGAGGCAGCCGGCAAAGCAGGGACCCGAGACGCTCACCTCTGTGCAATTTAATGGGGCAGGAGAAGTCCGACTCCAGCGGCTCCTCCCCTTCCCGTGAGGCCAGTCTCAGAGCGAGCTCCAGCTCAACGCATTCAAAGACGTAGAGGGACGGGATGAGGTCCGTTCTGGAATCCCAGGACTTGAGGGACTGCAAGGAAGGTTTGAGGGGTTTTATTTTCAACCACGTGTAGCTAGGTTCCTTCGTAAGTGCACGTTTCAGAATTGGGGTGTGGAGCAGAAGCAACCTGTGGCCCTCAAGAGGCCCTTGGAAAAGCGACGATGCCAGAGCCCAGGCGAGAGCCAGTGGTCTTCCTCTCGCAAGCAATCAAATAGGACAGAAAAAGAAAGGGGAAGGGGGCGGAACAAGAGGAGAGTGAAGACTCCTTTGGGTTCTGGCATGTACCCCCCATGACCTCTTGGGACTGTGACTCCCGAGAGAAGAAAAAAAATCTCTGCCTGATCCCTCAAGGCCCCTCAGAATGGGTTAACACATCAGCCTTTTACTGGCTAATTTGCTTTTATAGCCCTTGTGCTATGCCTCCCAAATATACGAGGGTCCACCTCTTGACATTGGTGATCTTCAGGCTGGTTCGGCACTACAAGAATGGCCTTAGCTTTCCCCGTAGGGTTGCATGCCCTCCCCAACTCCCCAGGAACCACTGCGACAGGTCTGGAAGAACAGTTTTGCTTCTGTCCTTGATTAATCAGTTTGCCCTTTCATCACTAGTTGGAAAAACTGAGTTAGTCCGGATTATCGTTAGTCACAGTCTAGACTGTTTCAACAAACCACAGTTAAGATTAATCACAGTTTTGGTATTTGTACAACACATTAAAAGCTGGTTCATCGAGCAAAGAAACAAAAGCCTCTGATCTCAGGGCTGCACTGAAAAAGAGATATAGCCTCATAATCTGAAAGCTAGCTTTGTATCAACCGTGTTCAAACATTTCTCCAAGCAGAGCAACCTTGGGGAATTCTTGGAAGTCCAAAACCATGTCCCTCTATTAGCTATGCCAACAGCTCTACTGGTCCATCCAACCCTTTTTGGCTGACTTGGACAGAAAACACCTTCCTGGGGGGTTCTGGTAGAAGAAGGTGCTCTCCAACCCCTGTTGCTCAGATCCGTTTGCCCTGGGGGTGCCGGGGGCCAAAGGCAACCCCTTCTGCGACTGGGCTACGGACCCAGATTTGGGGAAGGTTTCCCAGAAGGCCCAGCAGTAAGAGCTGAACGTACCGTCTGGTCATCGTCGTCTTCTCCTTCCAGCACAACACAGTGATACAGCATCCCCGATTCGGTGGCGATCACCAAGATGTTCGGAATGCAAGGCAGGCAGAGAACGGCACAAGCATCGTAGCCGTAATTGTCTTCGGCGGCAGGATACATCGGCAGGGGGCCCAGCAGCTTGCCTACAAAACTCCCGGTGCTACGAGAAACCAAACGTACGTAATGGCAAAGCAGATGAAGAGCCTGGCTCTCCCTCAGCCCCTGCCGCCACCCAGCAGATGCCTCTGGGATGCCCACCAGCACCCCCTGAAGGCAAGACTCTCCCCGCCTTGGCGTACGGAAGTGTCCAGCCTTAGACACGTCTGCTGTTGACGGATTTACTCCCCTCTTCATCAGATCTTGAAAAAGTAACTTGGACATGGACAGACTCTATGGCTCTACCCTTTCCTAACTAGTAAGGATGGTGGCTAGTCCGACCCTGAGGGTCCCAAGAGCCGTTGAGCCAAAGACATCACTTTTCAAAACTCTCTTCTCGAAGGAATTTAAACACAAGGGTCTGCCCACCACACACCATGGTTTCATGGTGGATTTCATGAAACACACACGACAGGACACTGCCGTCCACTTCAGGGACACGTCCTCAGGGCGCTGGTTCCTGTTGGAGAATGACTGCCACCCACGCAAAGGCCAGGCAGGGCGACAAGAGGCACCCAGTAAGGCTCGCCAGGCTCAAAACTTTTTTAAACGGTTCAGAAATTCTTCTGGGCTGCCGTGCAGCAAGGTAAACCGCTTTATTGTTCAGAAACTCCAGGTTTCCTAAGCCTTGGTTTTCCTCTCATACTGGAACTCCAAAGACAACCGTTTTATATATACCAGGACAGCTCTCAGAAACCCCTGCCGCTCGTTAGCTCTAACCTAGCATTGGACAGTGAAAACAAGCCACGTGTTCAGGGTACCCCAAACCTGGCCTTTGGTCCTTTACCTGGACGGGAGTTTGAGGTACGTCAGGAAGGTCTCTCCGTTTTCATAGAGGATGTACAACGGATAGGCCAGGGCTTCCTCTTCCTCTTGCTGCCCGGCGACATTCTTGGGAACGACTGCCAGGGGACCAAAGTCAAAGGCCACCGCCGTCTCTCCTATCAATGCTGTGTAGCCTCTCCTGGAGGAGGGAAGGGAGACAGGCCAAGCCCGCTGGTAGTGACCTTCTGCGTATTCCTTTCGTCCAGCAACGCAAAGTGATAGGAAGGGGTCTGTGTGTGCGTGTCTTGTGCAGGACACGGACGAGGAAAGCTTCAGACCTTACCCTTTATTAAGCCTCAGAGTCTCCTCGTCTGCCTCTGAAAGAGCGATCACTTTCACGGGTGTCTGGGGGGAGCTCAGGCTGTAGATCCTAACAGGCAAAACAATTTTCAAAGAGAAATAAAACACATCTAGCTTTTCGCATCACAAAAACGGGAGTAAAAAGGACCGGATGTATGGGCAAAACGTCTGTTTGTATCTCAGTTCACAACGTAAACCTATAATCATCTGAGCACATCCCGTCTCAGTAATTACAACACCCATCAGTCGGAAGGCCACATCTCAGGGGGGAAAATGGCTCAGTGGCAGAGCACCTGCAGAAGGTCCCACATTCAGCACCCTCCATGTCTCTCAGTGAAAACGACCAGAGAGCAGCTGAAGCGCGAGTCCTCCAGCCCAGGAGGATCGATGAGCAGACCATGCTGGGCTAGATCAGTGGTTCTTAACCTTGGGTTACTCAGGTGTTTCTGGACTGCAACTCCCAGAAGCCTTCACCACCAGCTGTGCTGGCTGGGGTTTCTGGGAGATGCAGTTCAAAAACACCTGAGTAACCCAAGGCTAAGAACCACTGGGCTAGATAATCAAACAGCCTGGCCCAGCTTCCCTCTCCCCCTGTAAAAATAATTCATTTTATGCCACAGGCTACATGGCTAAGCCAGGATGTGAACCAGAGACCTAAAGATTTGCAATTCCTGCTCTATGCCATGACGCTGCACCAACTCCCACAAAACGAGGGATGAACAAATGCCCTACGACACTCCTGACACATTGTAACTTTACAGGGAAACCAGGCTCCTTTAATTGACCTGCAACTCTTCTTAAAGCAGCGTCAAGAACAGGACTGTTTCCCAACAACAGAATAAACAGAAGTACAACGAATATGAAGAGCCCAGCGCTCGCTATTACCTCGGCTTAAAAACAAGCAACTCAGAGCAAGGGCGTTACCTTATTGTGTTGTCTGATGTCAACAGCACAACGTGGGGCTCCAGCGTCTCGCTCGGGAACCAGGCCGCGTGCTTCAGGGTCAGGGAGGTTGAGCTTGTGAAGAACCTTTCCGCAATGGGTACAGTGCTGGAAAAAGAGATTGCGCCGGTGAACCCAACAGTGGCTCAGCTGCAGGAAAGGCAGCCTGGCGACACCCATGCTGTGAAAAGTTTCACTGGCTAATTCTTGTAAAGGAACAGCCGAAGCCCTATGAGTCAGTGGGCAACCCTGTCCCAAGACACACCATGCCAACTTTTCAGAGTCCTGCTCCTCCGGGTAACTCCAATATTCATTCCCTTGCTGTCCCCTGACCTCTGGGGAACCTGGGAGGCTCCTTCTCTCTTCAGAACCCCCCACGGTCCATTAAACATTTGATAAAAAGACCCCCACCTCCCCTAGTCTACTTGTGACACATCATGGAAAAAGCCCACAGCTTTTCACTGCCTTTGCTTCCTTCCTCTCCCTCTGTTGCCTCTCCTGTCCGGATATGTACAAAGCTCTGTGAGGTCTGTCCTCTCAGGTGTAATGTTACGTGAGGTTGCACTGAAGAAACGAGTAAGGGAGATTCAGAGGTGGAGCCTGTGGCTTCCCTAAGTGTCGCTCTTCCCTCCTGCAACTTTCCAGCACCCTAAAATCCTTCTCCAGATGGCTTAAGGGACCCGCTGGGAGCAGGCTTCACATAGACCTGAGCATCCCGGCAGACACTCCTGTGTCCTGACCTAAAATGGCGGTGAGAGGAGACTGAGAGCAAGGGCAGAAATGAAGCAGGGACCCCCTGCAACTCCAAACCTGGTCAAGAAGATGAAAAAACAAGGTCCCGCTCACCTACAATTAACCGTCGCTTTTCCACCTTCAAACTCCGAGTTCTTTCCCCAGCGTTTGGGTAACTCCACCAACATCAGCCCTTTCGTTCCGATCAGAGCCACGTGCTGCTGCGTAGGGCTCAGCACCGTCTGGTAGACCTCGAAAAGGGGCGAATTTATGCAGAGCAGGGTCTGGAAACGAAGGCGGGCATCAGTTCGTAGCAAATGATTGCAACTTTTCCGACGATGAGCGTGTGTCCTTTTAAAACCAGTTCAGACTGCAAGGACCTCACCTGGTGCAGGTGTGAACATGCAATTGCCCTGCACTTCGTTTCCTGCAATCCCGCTGTAGGCTGATCTCATGGGCCGTGTGATGTTGCTCTCAACGTACAGGGACCGGGTGGATGAATGGCCTCCAGAAGTCCCTGCTGTTCACAGCCCTGCTCTGGCTTTCTTTCTCTCACCTCCTCATCCCATCAGGGTGAGGCCACCCCGAGAGGTCAGGGTTCACCCTACTTCATGCCATCCACGCAGGACCTTTTGGGGTGACTGTGGCTTCCCTTCTCAGCCTGGGAACCCAAGAGAAACCTCTGGGCCCCAAACGGGACCCCCTCCACCCACCGGAGGAGCAGCTCCTGCTGTTCGAAAACCTTGGGTGGGCAACATTTTTGCCTCCCACGAGCAGGTCCCGATCTAGATCTCGTGGCCCAGACACACGGGTTTCCTCTCTTGCAGGGAAAAACAGCTTTCTTGGGGTGCTTCTGCAGAGCAACATCGGCAAGTAGCCCGAGTGACCTAAACTGGCGGCGAGAACCGAGCGGCCGCCCTCGCTGCAGCCCTTAAAAGCATGGAAATGTTTGCTGGGGTGGGACTACAAACCCTATTCTCCCCTCCCTGTCCAGAGATCAGGCTTGTTCCTACTTTATCCACCTGCATTTCCACAAAATTCCTGCTAAAACAGCCGCTTGCCGGAAGCTTCTGGAAAGGGGTCCCTTAACTAGGACAAGCGTGTATGAATGAATTAAGGAATAAGTAAACAGACAAATAAATAAATGTGGATGTCTGTCACTAGGCCAGTCTAGGAGGTTATGAGCGTTGCAACCCCTTCAAAGGAATGTTTCCTTTGTATTTATTTTATTTATTTATTGTTTCGCCCTACTGGTGCTTAAGCGCCATCCTAGGTGGTTAACCACGTTATAATAAAGCCTCTAAAAAGTTAAAAGCAACTCATGAGTCAGATAATAACAATTAAAAAACCCCCAAATACTGTACTTCCCAGCATCCCTCACCTAGACGGACTTCAGCTTGGGGATTCTGGGAGTTGTAGTTGCGCCCCGAGCAACGATTCGGACTACAACTCCCAGCATCCCGAGGCCCTTCTGGGAACTCGTAGCTTCTCTCTCCTCCCCCTGCAATAACGTTTCCTTTGGACTAGGGCTCCCAGCATCCCCTGGCGAGGAGGGGATTCTGGGCTTTGTGGTTCTCCCCCCCCCGCAACCTCCCCACCAACACACACACCTGGTAGCGTCCGAGGGCGTCGGGCTCGTCGCCCCCCAGGCGGCGGAGGCTGAGGACGGAGAAGGCGCCCCGCTCGCCGTCCCACAGCAGCAGCTCCGCGCCCACGGCCAGCAGCAGGTCCCGCGGGAGGGCCGGCCGGGCTTGCTCGTCCTCCTCGGAGGGGCCACAGCCGGCGGCGGCAGAGGCGGCGGCCTGGGCCTGCTCCCTCAGGCGGCACAGCACGGCATGGTGGGGCAGCTCGGCCCACCACCGCTCGCCCAAGGCGGCCGTCGCCATGGCCGGCCTCGCCTCGCCTCCCCGCGCTTCTCCCGGCCCGCGAAACCCCCGGTCGCCTCAGGAGCGCCGAACTACCCTTCCCGTCAGGCCCCTCGGCCACGGGGCGCGAGCGCCGCCAGGCCCAGAAGGCACCGCGGCCGCCTTCCGTTCCTAGACTTATACACTGAGAGAGGAGACAAGAGCATAGAAAGGGTGTGTGGTTGCGAGATGGGGGGGACCACAACACCTTGTTTTTCTCCACTAACGTGGGAAAAGGGCGTTCTTCTCTTTCTCCACTACCACTCCCAACATCCCCCAACCAGCCCGGGGGAAAAGTCTGCAAAGTTAAAAATAATAACCTTTTCAGTTTTCATGTCTTCTCAAGGAAAGAAATTGAATTTAAATTTAAATAAATTTAATTTAGGGTCTCATTTCATTTCATTTCATTCCATTTAAGCTGCTGGCCCCTTCAGTTGGAAACTTATTTAAAACCAGAAAGGCTGGATGGAAAAGGAAGGGGGTTCCCTGGGGCCACCCCATAATAAGGATGGCCTCCTCTTTCCGCCTGGCCAGTTCTGTCTGTGGCTGTGAAAAAAACATTACACACCATGCTCAGAACCACGAGAGAAGAGAAAGAACATGACAAACCAGGCAGGAATCTCACAAATCAGAACAATTCTTTTATCATATAAAACAGCGTACACCATAGGTTAATTGGTCAGTATAAAACCCGCCCGTCCCCATCATCTGCAATCCAAAGGATGACTCCCAAATCAACTTGTCGCATAAATGAACCATAGGTATAAAATGTCCTATTGCACTGACACAGTTCTTTCTGTCCTTGTGTTCTTGTTGCAGGAAGCGGCGGCTGTCACGCACCCACACAGAGGCAACGAACAAAATGCTATTTCAAGTGCCTAGTCCCCATTGTTTAATTTAATATGGCTGCTGTAGGGTTGACAGGCCCTGCAGAGCCGTGGTCCTGCAAAGATTCAAGAAGGAACATCAGATAACTTTCTGTGCCATATTCTTCTGGATAGGCGTATTATTTACACAGCAAAAGGCACACAGTGAATTCTTCCACCTCCCAAGGAATGATGGAAACTGTAGTTGTTTGTCAGGAAAGGAATGGTGGCTATTGTAGTCCTCATACAGAAAATCCTCATACAGTACTTGTAAGATGCCAGGACCATTAGCATTGCTCAGACGTAAGCAGAGTTCAGAATGCTACACTTTAAAAGGAGCTTGTTGAGTTGCTCATTACTTCTTGGCAGCCGGGTTGCTGTTATAGTTACTCATGTCACACATAATGTGTGTTGCATTGCACATTATTAATGCATTGTACTGTATGACAGCTGAGAACAATAAAGGGAAATTCTCTCTGGCTCCCCCTACTGTCTGATTTTCATATTGCATCTCTCGAGACTCAAGGATGCCTATGAAGAAGACTGTATGACCGACAGCCGAGATCAATAAAGGGAAATTCTCTCTGGCTCCCCCTACTGTCTGATTTTCATATTGCACTCCAGAAACACAAAAAGACAAAAGACTACTGTATTTCCCTTCCCATTTAGGATTGGTAACAGAAAGGCATAAAATCCCCCCTAAGAAGATCCTACAAACTGTCTCTCAAAATGCCCACGAAAGTAACTAGTTATTTCTCATTACTCCTAAATCAACTTAAGTGTTCTTTTAATTCCACCTAAAATGAAACTCTGTAGCTTCTATTCCTTGTTACCAAAAAGTTGCTACTTACAAGGAAATGCATTTCTTATAAATAGTTCCTTTCACACTCTGGCCAGAAGTTATGTTTGTCATGTAATGACAATTATGGTTGTAACTCATAAATGCCTCTACTTACAAGGAAATGCATTTCTTATAAATAGTTCCTTTCACACTCTGCCCAGAAGTTATGTTTGTAATGTAATGATGTTGTATAATTAAATTATGGTTGTAACTCACAAATGCCGGCCAACTGATCAGAAGCGAACTACAACTTCAGATCCCATCACTTTGAAGGATTTCCCCCTCCCCGTTTTGGGGGGAAAAGCTTTTTCTAGTTGTTCATGTGAGGTGGTGGTGGTTGTTTTTTAAAACAAGACGCATCAGGCTTATTTTCAGACTTGTGAAGAAAGTTCCAAGACCACAATCAATGTGGAGTTACGTACCATTAAGGCCTGAGAGCTGAATTGCACCACAAATCTCATCATTGACAGAATCCTAGTGTTGTTCATGTACGGTTTCTATCATTTGCCCCGGCTAATTGCAACTCATCGACAAGGCGCTGGGGTGTCCCACAGCTTGGTGCCTGATCACGAGATGGCCTGTGAACTGAGATATGCCCAGGCGCCTCATTAATGAGCTGCAATTAACTGTGGTGAATTATGCAAACCTTACATGAACGATAATGCATGTGAGTTCCATAGGTTCTCTTTCTGTTGTCTCATTTCATCCTCCCAAGAGCCCTGCCAAGTAGGCCAGCCTGGCAGTGAATGATTGGCCCAAAGTCAACCAATGAGCTTCGGGTCTAATTCAAGTTTTCCCCGATGTGGTCTGCCACTCAAACCACTATGCCACGTTGCCTGGGGGAGTGGGAGGGGGCTTCGTGGATATGCATGCACTTTTATATGTGTATAAAAGACCCTTTTCCATGACAGGCCCCAGGTTGTGAAAGAGGCAGAGAGCAAGGATCGGCCCCCGTCGGGAAATTTAAGGTGTTCAGAAATTCGAAAGAGGGTCCGAACAACCCAACCGATGGGCTTGATTCTGTGATGCGAACATATTGGCCCTTTTTTCGACTGAGGTTTTAAAAACAGGACAAGGTCTGTGTGAGAGGCTGACGGAAAGATGGCCAAGCAGAGACTGGTCACTGGAACCCCTTCACCTCACAGAATAAAGCCCATTCATGTTGACTTTCCAAAATGTGTACTCCCTTCCCCCTTCTGGCTTTCCAAAACCTGCCAGTTTTGGTTTATCTTGGTTTGAAAATGGTGCAAATTTCGTGACTTTAACGATGACATAATTAGGCACAGAACACCGAGGTTTTGGGGAGGCGGAGGGACCTGACCAGCCTCGATTCACAAACTCACACGTGCAGGAATGGCTCACCTTTGTCCAGACCCAACATGGATAAAGGCCACAAAAGTGAAGTTTTTGTGATATTCTTTACACTTCAAACAGGATATTAACTTCAATCATGAATAACTACAAGGGGTGGGGGTCAGGGCAGAAAACTTTGACTAAGTGCCAATTCCTTCTAAGCAGTAATTTTTACAAAAAAAATTCTAGACTGACTTCTGTTTTGTCATTTAAATAAAACTGCAAACGGGTCAAGTCAGCTCACCGATGGACGATTATTGATCTGGTACTACCTTCTTTAAATAAACCTTTAAAAAGCAACTGGCCTCTCTCCAGTTTCCCATAAAATAATATACAGACAAAAAAATAAATTGCTAGAATAAATAGAATTAAATTATAAATAGATTATGTCGGGTGTGCTTTTTGATCTTCTCGGGGCCCAAATCTTGCTCGTTCTCATCCAGAGAGAAAGCAAAATTCACGGGGCCTCCCCGCTGGGGCCCGAAAGCAAAAGTTACGTGCAAAATTATGGCTAAATAGTTAGCTGGGCTTGTGATCCAGATTGACTTAGGTCCCTTTCTTGCTTTCGTTCGCTGAAGTCTCTTTGGTTTTCGTGTGCAAATACAGCCCCAAAGATGTCCTCGTGGTATCGCTTTTGTCGCTGCAAAAGAAGACCAAAGGGGTTGAGGATTAGTCGCCACGATGTTCAAATCTTGACGCATGTGTTGATTTGATCCCTCATTTCAAAACCTATTTTTAACCGCAGGAAATTGGATCCACAACTAACTGGACAATATTTTCTTCCCAAGTTAATTATTTTCAATACCACCAGTTAGAAATACAGCGTGTGTGTTTTAGGCTCTCAAGTTGCAACCGACTTATAGTGGCCCTATATAGTGGATATTTAAGGAGAGGTTTGACCAGTTCCACTCCCCCCAGTGAATTTCCATAGCTCAGTGGGAATTCGAACCCTGTTCTCCAGAGCCTGAGTCCATCACTCTATACACTACACATCACAGTGGGAATCTACACAGTAGGAACCCCCTTATCCATGAAGGAATTGGTTCCAAGTCCCCCTGCCAAAAAAATCCACAGATCATAACCACAGACCCTAACCATAGCATGGTCTCTGGCTCCCTCTAGTGACCAATTCTGGTAACCACATCATGGAAATCTATTTCTGGGTTTTTTTTCAGACCACAGATAAGTGAAACTGCTGATACTGATCCCGTGGATATGAGGGTCCTACTGTGTGCAGAAAAAGGTTGGCTCTATCTGACGAGAGGCAACATCAGTCATTTTCAATGAGTACATCTCAGCTTGCCTGGAAATTTTCATTAAAAAAATTAATAAGGGCTTTGGCTTGCTTACTTTCAGCTGGAAGCAGTAGTCTTCTGCTTGTTCCTCCGTCAAGCCCAGCTGTCGTGCAAACATTTCCTTTACAGTCCTGCCCACTTCCCGGGCCATGCGGACGTCTCCGCAGACGTAGAGGTGGCCCTCCTCCTCGTGCAAAAGTCTGCAGGCTTTGGCCTCCAGCTTGTTCCGAAGGAGGTCTTGAACGTAAACCTGGGGACGCAGAGAGAGAAGAGCCAGTTCAGACAACGGACAAAGTGCCACGAGGGGTGCCTGCCAGCAGAACGCAACTCGCACAAATCCCATTGGCGAAGGGAAGCCCACTGACATCTGGGGAGCCCAAGCCAGGAGCCGTCGATCTCGTCCAACCCAACGCTCAAATGCAGGAACTTTCCAGCAACAGAAGCTCCAATTGATGGGCCCCCAGGCCCTTCTCCAGAGAAGACACACTCTGTGTGTCAGGCCAATCTAGTGCTTAACCCCCTTTTTGGGGGGCCTTCCTTTTGAATCAAAGTGGACGTGCTGGGGACTCAACCGGGGACCTTTAGTGTGTTGTCAACCGGGGACCTTCATTGTGTTATCAATGGGGGGGACCTTCATTCTGTTGTCTCTGCTCTCATCCACTGAGATGCAGCCCCACCACCACCACCAACGAAGGCAATTTGACGTGGAGGCTTACTTTGGGACAGCCGGGCTCTCTGGAGTAAGCTGCGTAGACCTCCTGAAGGACCCCTTTCCTGTGCATCTCCTGCATTTCCTCTTGGTACAGGTGATCCAGGCTGGCATGGCGACACCCAAACAGCAGCATCATGCCCTTCCCTTTGATCCCTGAAAATTAAAAGCATACACACCCCAAATCAGTTTGTCTCCTGAATCCCAGAGCAGCCACCCAGAGGGTCTTACACTATAGCATCCTGATACTTCAAAAATTAATCAATTTCTCACACTGCTAAGAGCTTGCTTGATCAAGAATTAAAATCCAACCTTCCTCATTCTCCACTAGGTTGCTTCGAATAAGGGTCAAATCACACATCAAGAGAAACATAGATTTCCTGCTATTACAGCGTTTTCCCCCCAGGCATGCATTTCCTTCAAAGCTCCATGCCTGAGCAAGCAAGAGTTGCAAATGAAGGATGTGTTTACCTCCTGGTGACCAATCACAAAACAAAACCAAGCAAATTTGTAGAGGGAAACAAGGTTATGCTGGCATGAACAGATGTCTTCTATCTCATCAAGGGGATTCCCTCTCTCACAACTTGCTAGGCTGACTTGTCTAATTTGAACGTAATTTGACTGCACGGTAGTTCTGGAGACAGAACGATGTTCTTTTTACCTTTCATTTCCCGATCATAGAGGCGTTGTTGCCAGAAACTTCTAAATGGAGCAATCCCTGTGCCTGGACCAATCAGGAGGCATGGTTTTTGTGGGTCTTTGGGAAGTCGGAACCCCTCAGCACTAGAAAACATCAAACACAACACACACGTGTGCAAAGAAGAGTTAATTGTGGCAAAAGAAGGATACATGACTCAGTGGTTCAAACACAACAACAACCACCCTCCTTGCACTTAGAAAAATATCAAGGAGAAAAAATTCTATGCTAAATCTTCATCATATGTTAGTTTTATACATGCAGGGTGGATTATGAGCATGTGCTTTAGTCCGAAAAGGCATCAAATCCTGTACTTGGACTACATGTATGTCAGAACTGAGTGTGGGCTTCCTAGAGTTAATTGTGGCAAAAGAAGGATACATGGCTCAATGGTTCAAAAAACAAAAACCCCAACCATCCTCCTTGCACCTAGAAAAGTAGCACGTAGAGAAAGTTCTAAGATAAATCTTCATCATATGCTAGTTTTATACATGCAGGGTGAATTATGAGCATGTGCTTTGGTCCCAAAAGGCATGAAATCCTATACTTGGACTACATGTATGTCAGGACTGAGTGTTGGCTTCCTAATTTTTATTTATTTATTTATTTAAAATATTTTTATCCTGCCTTTCCTCTTAAAAAGAACCCCATTTATTTCTGAATCCAATTCTGGGCTTCAGAAAAAGCTTCCTTTATCCTGCCTTTCTTCTTAAAAAGAACCCCATTTATTTATTCTGGGCTTCAGAAAAGCTGCCAATTCATTCCTGGGCAATTTCTGACTTCCTGAATTTAATCTACAGCCCAGATACTACTTAATATTTAAAGTCTTTTTTCCATGGTTAACCTAAACAGCTGAAAGTTTTCCTTTTTCCTCCCCCTTTCTTTTCTGTTTCTTTTTCTTTTTGTACAGTTCAATATGAAATTCAAAGGCATGGCAGATCCTAAACAGGAGAGTCAACCCTGATGCATTGCAAACAGCTGGCTCCAGTTGGCATTTTAAACATTTGCTTTTTTTAAAAAAAAGTCTGGAATAAAGTGCACCAAATCATAAGGGGGTTCTGTGGTTGTTGTTGTTCCAGACCCCGATGGGGTTCGATCCAGGCCAAACTGATCTAGATCAAGTCGATTCAGTTTGGACTGTAGATTTTTGCAGCACGCTTGAGTGCGTAAACAGTCTCGGCAACCAGTCCGTGTTTCAAAATATGTGGTTCTGCCTCTTGGATGTCCTTTGGGGACCAAGAATTCATCTGGCTTTTATTTCCCTACCCGTCTCTCCTTGGCACTCTCGTTACCTGCGGACAAAGCATGGGATTGTCTCGTTTAGGTCAACGGTGTTCAGCCAGGTGCTGCAGACGCCATGGTGTACTGGACCTGTTCCATCTGAAAGGAGGAGGAGTAAAATAAGACAGTGTGGATTAAAACATAATTATTTGGGAGACAATGGGCTAAACTTAGTTCTATCATGTCTTGGCTACTGCAATCAGCTTATTGTGAAGCTCCCCTTGAAGATGGTCTGGGATCTCCAGTTACTGCAAAGTGTGGCAGGCCAGCTGTTAACATCTGTGTACTGCAAGAACTGCCCTGGTGGCTTAAATGGGTTTGGCTGGATATTTAAGGAACCGCCTGTTTCATTACGAAGCCATCCAGATGTTAAGTTCTTCAAGAGAAGCCCTTTTACAAAGACCAACAGTTTACAGCTGTGTGGGAGGAGGCATTCCTCCCAGGTGGCCCTCCGACTGTGGAGGGTTTTAACGGTGGAATTGGTTTGACTCCATTTTAATAATTTCAGGATTAATTTTGGCTCTACTTGTTGCCGTTCTTTTATGAAGACCCACCTCGAGCAGTACTTTACAGTGGAGAAAAGGGATAGATAAGTCATGAATAATAATCAGTTACAGCTGACTCTGCCAAAAAAGGGGGGACCTGTAGAATATATAACGGGTAGGTTTTTAATGTAAAGGGACCCTTGAAAGGGGCCTTATTTCCATTGAGGTTATAAATCCATGTCTGGGATCGAAAATGGTTTGTTTCCATTTCCCAAACTTAAGGAAGGGATTTTTTTTTAATTTGCAATCCTTCGTTTCTCCCTATTATGTGACATTGCTTAAGGATATACCAAACAGGTATTAAAAAGTGCATTTTTCAAGATAATGTCTCAAAAAAGTACACAAGCACAGAATAACTGAGTTGGAAGGGGCCTCGAAGGTCATCAAGTCCAACCCCCTGCTCAAGGCAGGAATCCAAATCAAAGCAGAACTGATAGAGGGTCTGATTTTCTGCTGAATGCCTCCAGCACTGGAGCGCTCACCATCCCTCCATGCGACTGGTTCCCTTGTCATACTGCTCTAACAGTTAGGAAGTTTTTCCTGATATTCAACTGAAATCTGGCTTCCTGTCCCTTGAGCCCATTGTTGCATGTCCTGCACTCTGGGATGATGGAGAACAGATCCTGCCCCTCCTCTGTAGGACCACCTTTCAAGTCTTTGAAGAGTGGTATAAAATGTATACTGTATGATAAAATGCATGTAAATTTTTAGGTCGATTCTCCCCCCCCCCACTGCACCCTGCTGATGATTATTACAGTGGGCGCTGAATGCCTCCAGCACTGGAGCGCTCACCATCCCTCCATGCGACTGGTTCCGTTGTCGTACTGCTCTAACAGTTAGGAAGTTTTTCCTGATATTCAACTGAAATATGGCTTCCTGTCCCTTGAGCCCTTTGTTGTCTGTAGGTCTACCTTTCAAGTCTTTGAAGAGTGGTATAAAATGTATACTGTATGATAAAATGCATGTGAAATTTTAGGTGGATTCCCCCCCTCCACTGCACCCTGCTGATGATGATTATTACAGAAACAAATAGAATGGAGGAATAGGGTTATGAAGGAACACCACAAACTACCATGGATTGAAAATAAACTCATCCAGCCAATTCTAGCCTCTGTGATTGTAGAATGATAATTCAGACTCACAGGGCTGAATTTTCTGCCTTTGGGGAAAAAAATCCCTGCATGTAGACATCTAGCATGTCAGGGGAAAAGGGCTCAGCCGCTTATGCCGTGTGGCTGTGGCCACTCTGCTGTAGAACACCCGCCTCTCGGAGGCCCCGCAGGCATTGGGGTTGACCTTTCCTCCACGTGGGAACCTGGCTCCTCGGCCATCGTTTTCGGGACCGATAAGATGACGGCTTCTTGAGCTCTGTCCGTGGTCTTTGCCACCATCTACACACCCACGGGCACATCACCGTGGGGATTGGACCCTAGAGTGTCGGGGTGTGTGTGTGACCCATCTCTTCCACACCTCTCCTGCCACCCCTGAGGGCCGTGGGCTCACCAGCTGAGGGATTCTGGGAGTTGTAGTCAAAAGAGAAACTTTCTCAGCTCTAGAGACGGGAATCCCTATTTTACGGGGCCACAGAGCCAGAGGTTGAGAGTTCAATTCCCCACTGGGCCTCCTGACATGGGGGGGGGAACTCCATGATCCATCTGCAGTTCTAAGAGGATGATGACGATGACGATTCAAAAACACAAGACATGGTCAATCAAAATCATAAAAGCATTGACTGGTATTCTATAACAGATACAAGTTTTAAACAAAAAACTAAGTATCTGTTAAATATGGACGCAGGATGTAGGCTGTTCTTAACATTGCCGTTTTTTTGTAGCTCTGTTGGTGTGATTTCTGAGATCTGCAACCGCTTATAGTACTGCGTGAAATTTCTTGATATTGTTCCCACAGCCCCGATGACAACGGAGACCCCTGATGTGTGTTTCATCCCCAAAAGAGATGTTTCAATGGCCAGGTCTCTGCCCTTGGTTCGTTTTTCCAATTCTTTTATTTTCAACTCTGGCGTCCCCTGGAATGGCCATGTCAAGGATCCGGACCTTTCTTTGCTCTATCACTGCTATGTCTGGGATCATCATCGTCATCATTTTCCAAACATGGCCAAGGAGTCTTCTTCCAGACATGGCATCTCACCGGGGGGAAGGGGGAATGACACATCCATTACCTCTAGTCCTGTAGGTCACCACAGCGACCGTCAGATGAAGCTCCCTGGGTTCCAGATCTGGGGAAGAACTGATGGAGTAATACCGGGGTTTCAGCAGCGGCAGCTGGGAGAGCAAAAAAGCCGTCGAGACCTGGACGGAAGGGAACTCCTCCAAGACCTCCGGGATGGTGGGGCTGTTAGAAAACTTCCACCGGTTGTACTCTTCCAAGCTCTACCAGGCAAAATAAAAACACATGGAGAACCACATGATGCATGGATGGTGAAGAATGGACCCCCTTCACGAACATGACAGAAGATCTCCCCTTTGAGGAAGATGTCAGCCTCTCTCTCTTTCTCTCTCTTTCTCCAGCCCCCTAAACTGATATTCCGGCATCTCTCAGAAGCATTTATACCCAACATTGCAGATAGTTTTCTGGACTTAGTACCAAAGAAAAGCCGTTTAAGACTTGAAAGCCTAAGGCAAGTGGCCAATTTCATCCCTCCCATAAGGCTAAATAGAAAATAAAACATTTTAAAGCTGTCTTAGAAAGGGAAAGAACATGTAATGACTAGTTGATTATATCTTCCCTGTTCAGGCCAGTCCTTCCTCTTCCTGAGTCCCTGAGTCATCTCATTAACTATAGATTTAATAGAGGATATCCTATAGAGGATAAAGTGGATCCTGTGATTTTTCTGTAACCAGATTGCACGTGTGTTTGCCTATGAGTATCACAAAATTTTCCATCTCTTGGCATGCAGGAAGATTTTTCTTTGGGACCAGTCTCGGCACAGTACAAAATAAAGAGAACTCATTTATGAACAAAGAAAGGAAGATGATTTTTTTGTATGTGTGTTCAGATCTAAAGACTAAATTGCAATAGCTGCAGTACATGGTTGTCTGGCCTTTTAAAAAGCAGAAGCACCGAATGGTTTGCTCGCATGTTTTTGATCCATCCAATCAGTCCTTCTGGTCTTCCTGCGTGTGTCAGCGTAGCCTCCCGCTGCAGACAACTCAATGAAAAAAGTACTTCTTGTCTTGCTCTCGCGCCGCAGGAATTGAATTTTACTAGGGTTAATGGATTCTAAACAGGCTGATGGTACATGTCGAAAGGATGTGTCTGGACAGGAAGGTTGCTGCGAAACTTACATGACTTAAGAGCTCAAGTCTCTGCTTCTCACTTCCTTCTTTCGCCAGCTGAGACAGCATCCTGAGAAACTGCTGTGATGGAGGAGTTGTGATGTCCAGGAAGTGACTCAAGGCCTGAGCAAAGGTGCAAGCTGGAAACTTCTGGTCAGTGGTCCAGTAACCACCTGGAATCGAAGAGGAAATGGATTGGGGAGGGGGGAGGAGAGAAATTAAATAAAACTTCCAAAAGAGGAAATCGACGGACGAGTGTCTTCACACAGCTCGGAAGGGGAGCAATAAATAGCCTTGACAGTTTTCCTGCCTCAGTGGGGGTCATTTCCAGGCTTCTGTTGACCTCCGCTGCTAGTTCTGCAGTCTATTTGAACCAAAAAAGGAACCGTATGATTATTCCCCTGCTTCGTTTTAAGGGGCTACACAAACATTCATCTGGGTGGGTCACTTCTTTCCTAGAAAATACAGATAGATGGATATTTTAAACCCTTCTTAAACTGTTCCAACATTGTTCTGAGACACGATGGGGTGGGCTGGGGGTATTACTCAGGGCTTGGAAAAGGGGGTTTTCATGGTCCGCAGAAAATATTCAGTCAGGACACTGACTAGGGAGTTCGAGCGGTGGTGGGGGTGGGGGGTAAATAGCCTCTCGAGTCAGGGATTCTGGGAGCTGAGACCTATTTGGACCAGCCCAATTTATTTTGCTACCTGAGGCACCCCATGCCATCTCTTTAAGACAATATGGAACTGACTAAATTATTTCTGGAACAACAGGAAGTGTGTGTGTTTGTGTGTGTGTGTGAGCCTTGAAAACAGCTCACCCCATTCCTAGCAGGAAAAATGCAATCACAACGGCCAAAATCCTGTTACTTAGCTTGTAAATTGCACTAGAGTAGACACAATGAATCAGTGGGCATCTGGTAAGTCAACTCCTCTTTAAGCTCCATTGATTTAAAGGGGGTCTGTGACTTACTTTGGCGCAGTAAGTTGCATATAAAGTAGGCCCATTTGAATCACTGGAATTTATGGAGGGGTAGACTCACTAAATCCCTATTGATTCACTAAGCCTTTTCTACTGCAGTTTATTACATGGAACAGCAGAATTTTGACCAATAAATTAAACAGCTAACAATTTGCACCCCCTTTTATGACACCCAGAATTTGCTGCCTAAGGTAGCCAATTCTACTCAATCGGCCTAATAATAGGGCCAGCCCTGTCCTTTGATCTCTGCTTGGCTCCTCTTTGCATTACAACCCATTAAATCCCTCAACGTGATTTGCGAATCACCCCAAGCCCGGATCATCCAAACAGCAGGTCTTTTCTAGAGCGAATGGCTCTTAATTGTCCATTCTAGACCATCTTTGGCATTATGGCCGGGACAGCTTGCAGCGGCTATCTTAACTTTGTGAAAATTCTCTCTAGCTCAGAGGGAACCAAAAAGCCTCAAGAAAAGTTTCTGGGGTTTCACTCTCAGCGCCCCCAGAGCCCGTCAATCATGTTTTGCATAGTGTCAAGCGTATCCTGCCTATGGCAAGATATTTTAGTGGAAGGAGGGTATTAAAGGTAGAACATAAAAGCAACAAGTTCTGTTCTTCTGTTGTATTATAACTTGGTTCAAAGGCCATTCGCTCTATCTAAAGTCAAGGAAAGATCAAGAGATAAGATATAGGTTAAAATTACTTACGCTCACTACGCGTTTCCAGCCGAATGATCTCATCGGACGACGGAGCATCCGCCACCCGAGCCAGGATGGCCTCGACGAGGGCTTTCTGGTTGCTGGGGAAGATCCCAATGTGGTCCCCAGGGAGATACTTGGCTTCGTCCTTCCTCTCGCAGGAAAGCTTAATTAGGATGGTAGCTCGCCTGAATCGGAAAGGGAAACACAGGGTGGTTTTTTTTTCAAAGGCAGCCCTCCTGGGATGCGCTGGATGAAGCCATCAGGTGGGACCCACGTCAAGCTTCTGGCAGGGAAAACGACTGGCCACTCCCCCCGGTTTCTTTGATCTGGAGAAAAACCTCTCGACTCTCTTGGCCCTTTCTGGGAACCTTGATCCCAGAAACAATGGCCAAACCTCCCTTCCCATCCTTGACCAAATCCCTTAGAATTTAGTCCAACCTGGGGAGGAGAAGGTAGCACCCTTTAAATATCTGAGCGGCCACAGAGAGCAGAGCTGATTCCTTGATGGTTCCCCCCCCCCGCGCCCCCTGCTCACAAGGATGGACAGGAACAAACAGGTGGAAACTGGAGAGATTCGGGCTAAGCAAGTGTTTGAAAATATTATCTTTTCAGATACCAGCTCCGAGACCCACCAGGAGAATGTTGGCGGGGGGATTTTATACACGTTTGACCTCTCTCTTTATTATTATTATTATATATATATAACAATAGGCAGTTACATTTACTATATTTTAACACTGTTGAGTTAGAAAGCATAACAGGGACGCTTTGTAACCAAGTGAAAACCAAGAGGGTTTGGGGTGTGTTTTGTGTTTTTTGTGTTTTTTTGCATTAAAAGAAACTGCACGCATACGGGATCAGAGAGATTAACTGCAGAAGTCCACATGACCTCTATTACAGGTTAATTTTTTTAAAAAAGGAACTAAAACTCGTTAAGTCTACAGCACTGGTTCTTAACCTTGGGTTACTCAGGGGTTTTGGACTGCAACTCCCAGAAGCCTTCACCACCAACTGTGCTGGCTGGGGTTTCTGGGAGTTGCAGTTCAAAAACATCCAAGTAACAAAGGTTAAGAACCACTGGTCTAGAGGTAAACACAAGACTGCTTAGAGGATGAGGAGAATACCTGGATTTTGCTGTTTGCAGATTCGCTCGGAAGATGAGATTCATCGGCACAACGTGTTTTCCATGGATGTCGCTGAGAGCTGTAGGGAAAAGCGAGATATATTTATATGTCTGTATGTCTATCTTGAGAGAGAGAGAGAGACAGACAGACAGACAGACAGACAGACAGACAGACAGACAGACAGACAGACAGACAGACAGACAGACAGACAGACAGACAGACAGACAGACAGACAGACAGACAGACAGACGCACCGTCCAATACATTTCAATGAGGAAAAATAAAAAAATCAGCAAAAATGAACGAAGACTCAGAACAACACCAAATTAAGTGTGCGTACCTTTCATAAGCTGGACTATCGATGCCAAGCATTTAAAACAGGTTTCAAAGAGGTTAAGGCACTTTTAAATGAGGGAAAAGGGACATCGTTATGTGAAAATCCCCCATAGGAAAGATCGCTGTGTGAGGCAGCAAACTGATCAGAAACAGACGTTATGTGAATTCATCGTTGTGTGAGGCACCACTGTATGTATATTTTCCCAAAGCTAATCAAAGCTCAGAACATCACAGATGAACCCTTTGCTTTAGTTATACTGTAGTTCACCATTAGGGGAGCGCTAAGAGTTTAATATTCACATCAAAATGTCACAACATGGAATCCATGTTCACAGTGTGGTAGCAGGGACGGCCTTTTTAAAATACTTCCCAAGATTGGTTGTCCACCTCGTCTCCTCAACATCATCAGATCTTTCCATCAGGGAATGAAAGGCACTGTAGTTTTCGACGGCTCAACATCAGACCCCTTTGACATTCGAAGCGGAGTGAAACAGGGCTGTGTCCTCGCACCAACACTTTTTGGGATATTTTTTGCTGTCATGCTGAAGCATGCCTTTGGAACTGCAACCGAGGGCGTCTATCTCCGGACTAGATCAGACGGAAAGCTCTTTAATCTTTCTAGATTGAGAGCAAAGACCAAAGTACAACTGAAATGCATGCGGGACTTCCTCTTCGCAGATGATGCAGCCATTGTTGCCCACTCTACCGAAGACCTCCAACAACTCATGAATCGTTTCAGCAAGGCCTGCCAAGACTTTGGACTAACAATCAGCCTGAAGAAAACACAAGTCATGGGCCAGGGGGTGGACTCACCTCCTTCTATTACCATCTCCACAAAAGAATTGGAAGTTGTTCATGACTTTGTGTACCTCGGCTCAACCATCTCTGACACCCTCTCTCTAGATGTCGAGTTGGATAAACGCATTGGCGAAGCAGCCACCATGTTCTCTAGACTCACAAAGAGAGTATGGCTCAATAAGAAGCTGACGACACGTACGAAGATCCAGGTCTATAGAGCATGTGTCCTAAGCACACTCCTGTACTGCAGTGAGTCCTGGACCCTTTGTGCACGGCAGGAGAGGAAGCTGAACACCTTCCATATGCGTTGCCTCCGACGGATTCTTGGTATCACCTGGCAGGACAAAGTTCCAAACAGTGTAGTCCTAGAACGAGCTGGAATTTTCAGCATGAATACATTACTGAAGCAGCGACGTCTACGTTGGCTGGGGCACGTCGTGAGAATGACTGATGGTCGGATTCCAAAGGATCTCCTGTATGGAGAATTAGTGCAGGGAAAGCGCCCCAGAGGGAGACCACAACTGCGATACAAGGACATCTGCAAGCGAGATCTGAAGGCCTTAGGAATAGACCTCAACAGATGGGAAAACCTGACATCTGAGCGTTCAGCCTGGAGGCAGGCACTGCATCACGGCCTCTCCCAATTCGAAGAGACCCTTGCCCAGCAGGCCGAGGCAAAGAGGAAGTCACAAAAGCAGCAAAACCAGGGAGCCGGACAGGGGACAGATTGGATTTGTCTTCAGTGTGGAAGGGACTGTCACTCTCGAATTGGCCTTCTCAGCCACACTAGACGCTGTTCCAAGTTCTCCATACAGAGCACATTACCATAGTCTCTCGAGACTGAAGGATGCCTATCATCCAAAAGTATATTGTGATGATCTACGGTTTCAAGCAATAAAGCTTGTTCTGCTCTGTTCAGTATTCAAAAGTCTGGCTCAGGGCTCCAGTTTATCCTATTCACAAGGATCCTATCCTGGGGGAATTGGGGGACTCTTAATTTTGGGTCCGTGTGTGTACATGAACTTGCTCCAGGTTTTATTCCGAACTTTACAGATGCTTTCCAAGATGCTGAAATCCTGGCTCTAATATTCCTCATGGTCAGCGATAAGCCTTGGTCTTTAGGTGCTCTTGTGTAACGGGAGAGGCCAACGTTCCCAAGGCGTTATGAAAATCATGAACACCAAAAATGCTGCTTTCCATATTATTATTTTCACCACTAATTTTTAATGCTTTCTAGTAATTCTACTATTCATCCTCTGCTTTGTTTGCTTACTTCACTGTTACTCTCACGGTACTGTAAAGACAAGAGTGGACAATCTTTTATAGTTTATAGTTTATATATACTGGGGGGAGGATAGTGGGCCTCAGGAAGACGAAGGGAAATTTTGCTTTGTTTATAGGGGGCCTTAGCACCCGAGGTCTCCCCAAAGGGAGCTTTTTTTTCAGATTTTATACACACACACATACACACACACACACACACACACAAATTGGGATGCAAACAATAATATTTAAAGCAACGATCAGCGCATTGCATTGCAAGAGGAGGGCAGAAGAAGGTACCTCTCCTCAAATCCAGGGGCTGAGCATCGTACACGATCCGAAAATCTTTTGGTTCCCAGGTTTCTTTGCATGTATAGGTTTTGGGTAACTGGATCCGGTGCTTCCCGCGGATCTCAAAGATTTGACAGGCGGCCTTTTTGAACGAGGAGGAAAGAGAGCAAGGGAGAGAAAAAGATAACAGCTGTGAAAAGTGGTAGGCTGTAGGTCCTTAAACCTTTAGATTACTGTACGTAACTTAATTCATTACTCGGAACCCTTAAAGCCAACTTTTTCTGGCCCTTTAAACGTGACGGTGAGGGTCTGAACTGCAGGTTTGTCGGTTCATTGAATAGATACATGCAGTGGTAAGCTTTCCTTCCATGCGACAAGCTGGCAGCCCATATTATCAGCTGAACGTTCGCACCCTCCACAACCGACAATCCATACCCTCCACAGGGAATGACTGCATGCAGACGAGACCCCCAAGGCCATCTAGTCCAACCCCACCATAATCGAAGGCTGTCGTTTAGGTCGCCAGCCGGCCATGCCCAGAAAGTGGAAGGAATGAGTGGCAAGTCCCCTAAAACTCGTTATGCATTAGAATAACGATTGTATAAGGTAGTTACATCTCAAAAGGAACATAAAGGGTGGGATTCAAATTACTTTACTGGCATGAAAAATCATGCTTTCAATTTCTTTAAAAAAAATCAACCTCAATTTAAAGGGCCATTTTCGAAAGCATTACTTATTTATTTATTGAGATTCATTATATTATTTTAAGTTTTACCCAGTGTCTTACCAATCTTGCTGTGCAGATATCATAATCTCTGAAATAAAGTACTTTTACAAAGTGTTTTTTTTACTCCTAAGTTCCAGCCACATGGTCTTTATGAATATTTCATTCCAGCTTGGTTGAGTTTTTCCACTTCTCTGGTCTGTAACCACTGGTGTCTCCTGCCCCTCCACACTATGACTATATAAACTCCAGAAACTGTGGAACCTGGGAGGTTCAGGGCCACGAGGCTAGCAAATCCATTGCAAGTTTTAATCCAAACTTTACACCTGCCATCTATAGTGTGGAAACTATTTTGAGGGTTTGGAGAGCTCCTGTAAAGTTCAGGCTAAAATCCGGATCGGATTTTACTGACCCACTGAAGTCACCAGCTTCCACACTGCCCAGAAAACGTGGTGCCCCATGGCTCTTGTAGTTGATTACCTTGAAGGCCGTGACCGCCCAGGCCCGGAAAGCTTCTTCCTGCCCATTGAGTTCATCCCCTTCACCCATGGAGGTCAACGGAGACGCCCCCAGCTGCGTCAGCTTTTGGTAAACAGCCCGAGCGAAGGCACAGAACTCCGGATACATGCTGGAACCCAAGCCAAAGACTGCAAACCTGTTCCAAGGGAAGAATCGCATTGAGAAACTCTCTCTCGGAGAAATCATCAAAAGACATAACAACCAAAGGTGGTTAAGTGGTTCGGGAAACTAAGCACCTGTAAAACAGATCAATAGCCACTCAAACACCAGATGGGATATGGGTACAATAAGCTTAACACTGTACTGCTTCGGAATAGCTTTTTCCTCTACTTTAAATAAACAATTTATTAATAAAGAAGCAATTTATTTAAATGGTTGTAGCTTTATCTAAACAAATGATTACTAATCTGAGAACTATTTAAATAGCTGCAGCTTTAAATAAACAAGGCGTGAATAAAGAAACTAAATAGTTGCAGATTCGAATGTACAATTTATTAATAAAGAAACGAAATTGTTTAAATAGTGGCAGGGTGGAAGGTACAATGTATTAATAAATAACTTATTTAAACAGTTGAAGCTTTAAGCAATTAATTAATTAATTAAGAAAATAAAGAAACTAAATAGTTGCAGATTCGAATGTACAATTTATTAATAAAGAACAAAGTTGTTTAAATAGTGGCAGGGCGGAAGGTACAATGTATTAATAAATAACTTATTTAAACAGTTGAAGCTTTAAGCAATTAATTAATTAATTAAGAATTTATTTAAAGAGTGGGAGTGTTAAATAAGCGACCTAATTTTTTTTTTAATCTGGAGATTTCTTCCACGATATCATTCTGGGATATTTAGTATTTCGAATATTCATGAGTTGTACCCAGAGTGAAGTGCCAGGGAAACCAAACCAAATCCTGCCAGCTTCTTTCAACTTATGTCACAGCTGGCAAAACATGAACACATGAGCACAACTGGTGCACTGATGTGTTTATGGCGCATGGATTTCCTGCAACTGGATTCTGGCCTCCCGGAAAGGCAGCTTGTAGCAACATGCTATGCCAGTCACCCCTGACATTGCGCCAGCTTTCTACGTTCTCACAAAGATCTGTTGGCATCCCATAATGTCAGAACAGGAAAGGGCAGGAAGATCCAGACCGTGCGGTCAAGGACAAGATCCCAAAATGCTCACCTGAATGGGTTGCTCAGCTTCTTCATCGATAGGAGAGCATTCTGTAACGTCTGGAACCGAAAGAAGGAGAATCGTCAAGAGATGCTTGTTAATTTTATTCCTATCCTGACTTTTTTTTTTCTCAGAAAGGGACTAAGGGACCAACAATGACATAACATCTTAGGTCCTAGAACTGCAGAACTGGAAGGGGCCCTATGGACCCTCAAGTCAAGGAAACTAGTGGGGAATCGAACTCACAACCTCCGGCTCTGCAGTTAAATGCCTAAGGCACTGAGCAATCCCGCCGTTTCATATAGAAATAAAATCACGATAAATTACAGTACAATACGGCCCCTGTATTTGTGGGATTGGTATCCGCGGTTTTCTTCTCATGAGATGGCCAAAGTATTGGAGCCTCAGCTTTAGGATCTGTCCTTCCAGTAGCACTCAGGGTTGATTTCCTTTAGAATGGATAAGTTTGTTCTCCTTGCAGTCCAAGGGACTCTCAAGAGTCTCCTCCAGCACCACAATTCAAAAGCATCAATTCTTTGGCGG